AAAAAAAACACGGATGGTAAATTACACAGATTCATAAAATATTGAATCAAATGTACTTTTTTCATTACTTTTAATACAGAGTTCTCTTTACCCTCTCAAAGTTATTGGGCGGTGTGCAGGACTTTGCCCAACCAATCTCCGTGTGATTTGTGTTCAACAAGTCCCTGAGGGGGTGTTCTGTGTGGAGCGTTCGGCCCATTGCTACAGGCTACTCAGTCCTTGTGCAACCAAAAGGAGAGCTTGGTATACACTAGGGGCACACTAGTTCCCAGTCAGAGCTGGACATCATCCCTTTACCATGTGTTAAAGATTATCTGTGTGGAGCTTTCTGATCTGGTGACCTCAGGTGACCTGGCCCTGTTGGCTTTATCAAGTTGTACACTTCCTCCAGGCCAAAATGCCCACTCATGGTTGGGAATGAAGTGCTTCCCCAGTCTTGCTGGTCTTTTTTTTTTTTTTTTTTTTTTTTTCAAATAATGGGGAAGTGTATGGGTACCAGTCTATTGTTGTAAGGATAAGAGAGAATACAAGCAGCAGAGATGAGCTTCCTCTGAAGAGGTCCTGAGCGCAGCCTTAGGTTGAGGAGCTGAGACTTTCAGGTGGAGCTTACAGTATAACTGCTGCTCCTCCACATCAAAGCGAGACAGTTGAGGTGGTTCAGTCATCTGACCCAGGATGCTTCCTGGATGCACCCCAGGTGTTTTGTATCAGTTTTACCAGTTGGAAACCCCAGGGCAGACCCAGGACACGCTGAACAGATCGTGTCTCCTGACTGACTTGGAAAGGTTTTTATGTGCAGCAGATAGGAGCTGGAGGAGGTGGGAGAGAAAAGGGAGCTCTGCTTAGACTGTTCCCCAAGGAACCCAGACCTGAATACTGAATCAGGGCTAGAAAATGGATGGATGGATGGAAAATCCTGCACAAAAACACACATGTCAATAAAGATTTTTAAATTGAATTCTAACTGTCAAAAGAGACAGATGGCCAGTTTTCTTCTGCCTCCTGCTTCTTCCTCTTTGAAACCCAGAGGTTATTACACTAAACCATCATCAATACCAGCATCGATCAGACAGTATTGATAATGGCAGGGCTGTGATCAGCAGCTTTAGGAGGTGTGTGTGTGTGTGTGCTCATTTAAACAGAGTCAGGGTTTCATTACAGCAGCAGGACGACCAGAGATGAGCAAGCCTGGTCAATACACTTATTGGCGGAGAATATTGATGAGCTTGGTGCAGTGAGGTGGGGAGCTACAGGTTTATGGAGGTTTTCTAAGAGGGTGAGAAGGAGGCCAGAGATAAGAGGAGACAGAAATACAGATAGAGATCACAAAATGCTGAATTTTGCATAAGAGGATATAAAAAAAAAGTTGTTACATGAAGTCACGTAAAATTAAAAAAGTAAAAAGTCACAAAGGAATTAAATAGAAATAAAAAAGAAGGAGTGATAAAGAAACCATACAGAAAGAAAAATACTGAGCAAAAAAAAGAGACAAGAATGGATAAAAAATTTGATCAACAATGACACAAGCACACTGAGATGAAACCCAAATAAAACTGATAGAAAACTGTGAGAGTGAGAGAGGAAAGCCAGACCGGAGACACTAAGACACAGAAACAGCAGGTAGATATAGAGATCAGCGCATCTAACGTCTGCAGAGCAGAGATGTTACAGCTGGGTTTTAAAAAAATGAAAAAGAAAAATATCGAAGGAGCCTGGAGCTCCTTTAGCAGAAGCAAAATGCAAGAGACATAAACAAAGAG